TTACCTAACCTGGTTTACAAGCTCTTTACTCTGGCTTCCCTGGCTCCCTGACTTTGAAAGGTTTTAGTAATTAGATGCAATTAATATTTTATCCTAATTCTGAACAATTCATTCAAAGGACTGTTTCTTGAGTACTCTACTAACTAGTAGAATTTGCAGATTTTTCTGTTACATACTTGGTTCAAGTGAGATCAGAGATCTAAGGGAGTCACATACTCCAGGGACAAGTTCTCTTAACTTGCATATCCTAGGCAGCTCTGAATTTCTGTATTAGCAGCATAGGCGCTCTGACTGGATTAGAAGGGATAGGAAGGACTTATCTGGAAGCATGTTTGTAGAGCAGGCACAATGTTTTTGGATTTTGGATGATTTGGGGAGGGGGACAGAGCTAGTTAAAAATGCAGACTCCTGCATCCTGTTCCCAAGAATAAGTTTGACTCAGAATGCCTTTAGCGGCATCTCGAGAACTGCATATTAAACCACAATCCCAGGAGATTCTGTTTTGGTTTGTCTGTCAGTGACATTTGCAGACAAATGGTTCTAGCCTGCATGTAGGACATGTGCAATACAAAATTCATTTCACAGGAGGGCACAAAAGTGCACAGATTGGGCATTTTTGCAAAGATTGAAGTTTCTTGCTTCCTGCCAGTAATGAGAAGGTCTGTAGACTGACATGAACTGATATAGCCAACAAATCTGATTTTGGTTATATCAATCTTTTAAATTAGTCTTGTTACCTTTTCTATTATTTTCACACTGTTTGCTTTGGATGTTTTTTCAAGTTATGTTTTTATATTACTGTATCCATTTCTTTAGTTTAAAAAATTGCATATGTCTCATTAGTATGTTTTTTCCAGAAATCCGGGAACAGGCAATTTTGCGTTTGTGTATAAAAGGGTGTTGAGGCTGAACCCAGTCTCAACGGACTTGAATAAGTTAGTGAGGACCTTCCCACATGTAAGATAATATGAAAAGAAGAGACTGAAAAGCAATTTAGGCTTCAGTGATCTATTCCAATTACTGAAAAGACCACCAGGGCTTCACAATTTTCATAACGCACAATCTGGGTCATTTAAAGGAAAAAAAATAGTATGTGCCAAGGTGAATTTTAGTTTGAGCCTAATTTGTATTACACTTCAGGAATGTGAGCAGAAGGCAAATATTTATATCAGATGGGAAATGTGACATTTTAAATAGGCAAGTTGCTTGTATAATTTTGGCAGCTGAGAGGTTTACTGATTAGATTCTGTTGTTATTGTTTAAGCAACAGATTTGCCTTGGGCAACAAGGCAGTGAGTTTCATATTGTTTTTCTAACATTGACTTTATTTGTTCACCCTATTCACTTTCATAAATATTCTCCAAGATGCAGGAGCATGCATCTTTGCTGGTGTTTGGTTTATCATTCTGGCATCCTATGAGGAGACTAGCTGCCCCCCCCCACCCCCCAAGAAACCAACCCAGTGCTGATTAGTTGTCTTAGTGTAACTTTTGTGGGAAAGTTTGGTGTCCTGTTTTATTTGACATCAAGTTAATGACTTTTTCCTGATTTTGGATTTGAGATATTTAGTTAAGCTGATGGCATGTTTTAGTTTGTTGAACAGAAGAAGTATTTGAGATCATTACTATGCTGAGGGCCTGAAAGTAGGAAGAATCTTCTGGTCATTTTTCTTTTCCTTTTCTTTCTTTACACTTTCTCCAGGCTGTTCTCTGAATGAATATTAGTGGCTGAAGAGACTCTTTTGAGATCTAGTCATAAGCAAGTCCCTTAGACTTTCACTGTCATAAGCAAGTCCCTTGTCTTTATGCTGTGGTTGATTGTATTGAATGAGAATGTGCAACTGACTCCTCCTCAAAGATTGGCAGCTTTGTTTGATACTAATTTCCCAATTTTAATGAGGGCATTAGTCCCAAAAATTCTATATTTTTGTACAACTATAAGCATAGAAGTGCAACCTATGAATGATCAGGGACTATTATTCAACAAATATTTAACAAATGTGATTAAAAACTGAGATATTATGAAGAATAAATTTGGTTCCTTTTCTCACGGAATTTCTAGATTATTGAAAGAATGAAATATTACCACAAACACATGATTACAAATTGTTCTGGATATCATGGTAACCTATTGTAGGGGTCTTAAATTTTGTAGATCAGAGACAGCTTTTGAGAACCTGAGGTCTAAAGGACGAGTAATCATTAACGAGGTGCAGGTGAGAATAGGAACAGCACATGTAAGATTCCTGAGCTACGAGGAGCTGGCATATTTTAACCAACACATAGTTTAGGAATTTCATTTACTTTACCCTTAGGATTGCTAAAACTCATTCCTTCATTACTTAGAAGACTATTAAAAACATTGAGGGGGTGAGATCCTTGCTTCAAAATCCTGGCATCTATCCCCATTTGTGTAAAGTTATCTGTCTGTTAGAGTCCATGTCAACCACACAAGCAAACCTGTTGCTCAGGCATCAGAATTGCATGCAGAAACTTCCACTCTATTCCTGAGAAGAGAACAGAATTAGGAGATAATTCTGCCTTCATCCTTTCACTGTCTGTTTTTCCCTAAGGGAAGGAAGGTTTCATCTAATAGAATAGATTGAGGGAAAATATAAGTATATCTGAATCAGCCCCTTTGATTTTCTTTTGGGTTCATGCTTTCTGAGAGGTGCACACCTTTTCTTGTATCTGTGCCACCTCTCTTATAGTAGACATACTTGAAATAGGGCCTATACCTGCCGTATGCAACGTTTTCAACTTTAGGGAGGCAATGGATCATTTGAAGAGCTTTAGAGAATTACCAGTATGGCCCTACTTGGTGGTGCTAAGTAGGTGTGGTTAGGACACATCACTGCAAGATAGCCACAGCCGCCTCAGTGCAATTTTGATCCCCGCCCAGGAGGTGACCCACATAGCGCTGCAGCAGGCCTCTCTTGACTCACCTGCTGCTCCCCTCAGCAGTGTACTTCCTTGATCTGCCTGTTCTGCTCCCCACTCTGTCTCTGGTGAATCCTCTCACCACCCTGCACCACTGATCTGTACCCCAGTTTTGTATGCATAAAGTAAATAAATAAATCTTAAAAAAGAAAGAAAGAAAATTACCAGTACCTGGGTCCTGCCTTTGGCGATTCATTTTCAGTGTTTTGGTAAATATGTAGGTGCTGACAGATTTTAAAACTCTTCTAGTAATTCTAATGTGCTATTGAAGTTGAGAACCATGTCTAGACGAAGTCCAGAAGTATCACTTTCTGAGTCCTCAGGGCCCTAAGGGTGTGAAGCAGTTCTCCTGATACCTGGCTGAATATTGTCAGTTGTGTTGACGAGATTTCTCTCAGGGTAAAACAGCACAAGGTCTAGACTCATAAGGAAAACGTGATAAAAAGGAAGCACAGTTATGACTGCAGTGCAAGATTTATTTTTAAATATAGCTCCAGCAGTTATCAAGCTGGTATTTTGATACCGTCTTTCTGATTCCAGTATATATTTCTTTTTTATTTTTGTATTTGAAGATAGAGAAGTATAATCTATCATAGTATATTAACTATCATCCCAACCCCTTATAGAAATCTTCTCTAATCTTCCCCCACTTTCTTCTTAGATGAGCAATGATCTTCTTTTTGCAGTTTTATTTATACTGCAATTTTTTCTCCTCAAAGTTTTTTTAGTTAGAATGTTTCTTAAAAGCATCATGCACACACATACTAAACTTTTGTCTTTTAAACAGTTTTTAAATGTTTAGTCCATTTCCACTTACTGTAGTTGCTGATATATTTTGACTCTAAATGTATGATTATGTTCTTTTGTTTCCTGATGGTCCTGCTACTTATTGCTTACTCATTTCTTGCCTATTTTGGATTAATCAAGTATTATTGTATTTTTATTTCATTGTCTCCTTTTTTTTTCTTTAAGCACTTAAAAAGATTTAAAAATTCTTTTTCTAGTGTTAATTTATGAAAATGTTGAAAAACCTGATGTTTTCCCCCTCATTCAACCCCTTTTTACCTGCTACATGTTG